TCACCTCCACAAATCTCACAATGATCAAAGTATATAAAGGATGTGATTTATCCATATAAAAACATTTTATGACATTTCTTGTATCAATTATTTGATATACAAAAATTTTTATATCTCAAGTATTCAATTTGCAATCTGAGACAAAACATTTTCTTTCTAAGTCCTTCATTTCAAATTCTTTCTTGTAAACAATTTACAGCTTTTATGAAATTTTCAGGAGTTTTGATAATATTTATGTCATTAATAAAAAAAAATTATACAAACTCATTTTAAAAAGCTTTTCATAGAAATACATGGGCGAATTAGATTATTTTTATATCATTTATTCAATCGATATTTACTTAGTCAGTTATACTACATACATCCTGATTGCTTCTGACAACTTATTTAATTTAATTAAGTATTATTCTCAAGGACTTGAATTTCATAATATTTTGATCAAGAACTATAAAATAGATGATACATATTGAAATTATTTTAATCTTCATAATATTTTATATACCGCAAGATTTTCTTATATGTGCTCCTGGCATATTTTGGATCCTTTAAGGATAATCATGTAAATTTTACTATTTACTTATGCTCATCCACAGGTCATTGTAATGTTTAACAGGCATATTTCATAACTGACAAATTATTATATCCACCACAAAGTAATATGTCTTAGTATAATCATTTGTGAAAATCTATATTTTCACATAAACGTCTATATATTCTATAGAAATTTTATATTTCATGTATTAGGACTACAGGCCTTTTCACATATCAAAGTAATATTTTCATCATGTCTTTTCCTTTTTACTTTTCTTCTTGGCCAAATTTATATCTACTTTGTATGATAGATCTATGTGTAAGATCCTCCTTTTATCACATGATATTCTTATCAAAATCGTTATCGATAACCTTTATCTTTTCAGTTCCATTTTTCTCTTGTGACATAACTTACTAAGATCTCTTTCTTTCTCTTTAGGTACCTGAACTTCTTCTGGAGTTTTACAATTAGTTATGTCTTGACACTCTTCTAGAGTACATGCCTCCTCAATACAACTTTTAAGTTGTATGCTCCTCTTTATTCAAGATATTTATATTGAAACTGATTAACCTCTCATGCTTCCGGCATGTCTCATTTTTATTTATAATGATTGGAGCATTTTCAGCAGGAATAAGAGATTTAAAAATTTTCATTCAGGTCAGTAAAATATTTTGTAGTATTTCATGAATGCAATTTTGATGAACTTCTGGTCCATACTAATATATTTGAGGATCTAATTTAATAGTAATAATGCATTCCATACATTCTCTTTTCCAACTACTTAATTTCTTCCCCTCATGTTGAAAAAATCTGTCAAATAACAATGAACTAATTATGCAATATAAGCCTCCTAAATCCATTGACTTCCTTTAGGAACATTGTTTTGTTCCATTTTGAGGCAGACAAGAAGAAGGAGGTTCTTACCCAACAATATCCCAATTTCTTTTAATATCCATCTATGTGCACTATGGTGGATTGGTAGGAATAAATATTGTACATTTCAATTTTTTTAGATGAAAAAGATCTGGCTCCTGACCAAAAGCCAATTTTATTGGGAGAATTTTGTTGTCTTGATGTCTATAAGAGCTGCCATATATTAAATCAAATATGCCAACACTAAAATGGAAAAATTTGTTCTCATAAATATTGATCAAGCTATTCACGGATGCATTAACAAATGTTTTGTTGGATCAATTTGTTAAGCAGGCTTTTTAACATTAAAAGCCTAATATATAAATTCATTAGCATCTTTAAAATCAAGTTTTGAGAATCACATAGTCCGAAAAAATTTATCTAAATAATCTTGCAAACTTCAGGTTGCAAATTAATGTCAATCACACATCTTACCATTTTATATAGATGCATCTATTAAATATTGAATACTTATATGACTTATGTGCTTCTAAATGGGCCTATATATATTTCCAGAAATGTAGTGATTCATTTGAAAACAACATATAACTAGTGATATTTTATAATCAATTTTCTTTGAGAACAAGCACCGCATACAAATTCTTAAAAATGTTGGCTATTCGGAAGAATCTTCTGGTTTTTCAATTGATATCAATACATAATCTTCAATAATTTGTTGCATCATATAGTTTAAGATGATCAAACAAGTCATGCCAATAATAAATCTAATTATATCAGTAAACGTCTAGTTTACTGTACCATGTTTCATTACCAACAATAAATTTTTTAATATAATATATGATTGATGATATTCATTTATGAAATTGATATGAAAAATATATCCAATATCAACTCATACTTATATTCCAACAATCTCCCCCTCAAGATTGAGTCATTCAAATATGATTTTTTTATTCATATATTTCATAAATAGTTACTGGCATATAATAAGTTAAAGCCAATAACCTATTTTTTGTTTGGAAGCCCAAGTACTTCCTAGTTCATATATAGTTACGGACTTTAATCTAATTGTACTATAATATTTACACTCTTTGGAGAATCAAAGCTGTGATGTAGATCTATGGGTTATATTTTTCACTATCAATATTTTGTCTACTGAGAAAGAAAAATCAATATTAGTTCTTTTGGAACTATATTAATATTATTAAATCTAGTTCTTTAGGAACTATATAATTTAGAAGGAATATGAAAGACAACTCTATTTTAATATATATTAACATAATCACAAATAATTATGAGTATCACAGATTTAACTTGCAATACACATAGAGAACACACAAAAATGATGAAACGCATTTAAAATGAACTTTTAAAAATAAAGTACAAATAAAACTGAACATTCAAAATTTCTCAATATTGATCAAGGTACTATAGACATTAAAAATATCTGAAACTAATATTGAATCAGATCATATAAATAAGATATAAATAAACAAAATGTAACTAGTAACTTTTGGGTCTATTTGATCTATTTAGTTTTATATCACACGCTTACCAATATCACAATATCAAATTCTTATAACAATTTGTTTATCACAAATCACAATAAATTTAAAGACTGATAAAAATTAAACATTATACATGCAGCCTTCTAGGCATATACTTGTATGTTTTCTATTTTTATATGTACTCTAGGCATCTATCTTTCTTCACAACTTATTGCCTTCAGGTATTAGAATTACCTTCGATATTTTTATAATATCATATGGTTTTTTTGATTCCATAACCTTTTTTTTTTAACATTTTTTTTTCAATGAATTGATACATATTTGTCTATATGACTTCTGGTTATATTATAACATTTGTTCATAATTTTATATTGATCATAGGACTATTACTAATTCTTCTGCTATGATTCAATAGTCAAGCCCCAAGATTATTATCTTTTTAGTTATCAGTTCCACTGACATAATGTGATCATATTCTTCAACACTCTTATGGATATATTCCTTGCTTTCAATAGCACACCATCAATTTTCTCAAATATTAGTCTTTCGGACTATAACAAAATTTTCAGAACTATGAAGTTCTTTTGTATGGTTTAATTTTTTAAACCATCAATCTTCAGAACTTTGATATAGATTATCAAATTGTGACAATTTTGCCATGCCATTTGTTACAACCATAAGATGGTCTTTTGTCAAAGAATCATTAAAATGTGATATGGCTTCTGGCCATCTAATCACAAAATCAAGAGTACAATGACTATTAGCCATTCATTTATATATTTAACATTTTACTTTCTAAGACAACAATTAACTAATATCGGAGATAATAATCATATATAGTAATGTTATAGATAAAAATAAACCTCATAGCAAATTAAGTATAAGGATAGTAGAATCATGAAAATATAATAAAAGTAACAAATAAAAATAAAAATTTTCATATCTCAATACGATAAATAAAATATTCAACTACCAATGAATCAATAAGGTTAATATGAAAAACAACCATTTCCTCTAAATAAATTGGAGAAATTTACCAAACTGTTCGGATCAAACTATCTTTATTCAACAAACAAAACATCAATATGTATCAACTAGAAGCCATGAACTCTGATGGTAGAGTATCATGTTGATAATATGTTATGAAATTAACCAACAATGAAAGTAGATTGGAGAAGAAAAGTAGACAAAAAATGAGAGAATGATATTGTATTCCTTCACCTGCTTCACTTATATCACAATATAATGGTATGCCCTATTTATAGGCATAGTCTTACATATAAGTTACACTATTACTTAAACGATAGATACTGGACAATAAACCACATGAATGTGAAGTGCGGGTGAGTTACAAAATTAAAGGCATAGTGAAAAAATAATAGAGTAGTAGAAGATTAATGTCTAGTGAAAGTAATAGGAGTTGATGAAGTTGAAAAGTAAGAAGAGATGGATATCCATATTTGATCATATTCATAACAATTAGAGAATGTTAAACTGCATTATTTTAGTGATACATTAATTAATTAATATTATTATTCATTTATTTTATAAAAATTTGTATATTATGACGCGCATTTTTTGGCCAACATATTATTACACACATGAAACATGGACAGAATCATTTCCTTCGAAGTTGACATTTGATAAATGAGAAGAGAAATAAGGCGACATACTTGTCCTTTTAAGTCCTGCCTCTGCCTAATTCCATTCTTATTTCTTTTTCTGCGTCGTTTTCCTCCTTGCGTGATTTCCTGAACATATATTTTACTTCATCAAGAAGAAAAATCAGTACTCTTCTTTTGTTCTATCGCACTCTCCTTAAATTATTCTCTTTCCTGTTTCCTGTTTCCCTGCACTCTCGAATCTTCATCATTTCGTCTGGATGGGTGATCTTCAACAATCCGGTTCAGCTCCATCTTCAGGTTATATTTATTATAATTCCCTCGATCTGTTTCGGTTTCAGAGTTTATTCTGAGCACATGCATGATTTTCTTTTCTTCTCATGATGGGATCTTCGTAAATTGAATTTAATAGATTTGAGTTTATAAAATTAAAAAAAAAAATTCTGGCTTTCAAGCAATTCCTGGTAAAATTCTGCGATCTGTGATTCCTCTGTAGCGAAATTGAACTAGAATTGCTTTGCATCTCTTTTACGGCAGCAGAAGAAAGGTTATGTGCATATGGTTAGCCAGTTGAGGTAGGGTTTCCAGTAATGAAACTATGGCTATTGTTTTTTTTTTTTTTTGGTGACAATGGTTTATGCACTGGCTCTTATTCTGATCCCTCTGGATAAATACTGTCTGAATTTTTGTTTTTATCTTCTAAAAAATGTCACGAAAAAAGTTTCTGATTCAAAATAGTATTTGAAGTGTCAATATTCTCTATATATCTGGTTGATTGTGTTCATTGCTATGGATTATTCGGTGCGGAGGTTTAGAAAAATACTGGACTAGATTTTAGCTCTGTTTACTGACCCAGAAACGCTGAAGATTGATTCTGATTCAGCTACTGATATGCTGGGTTTTCCACACATTCATCTGTGTAATTTCATATTCCAAATTCTTGCATCAATCTTCTGAATGATTATTGAGGCCAATATTATTTGATCTTTGTTTTTCGGAATCTAGGGGGGAAATCTGCTGAAGTTGAAGTATACTACTGAATGTCCTCGACTGGCATGTGTAGCTTGCCCTTTTGATTGTCATTGAGATAGGCACTACCTGTGATGCCAAACGATGTGCCTTCATGATGAAAGCTCTGTCTTTGAGATCCATAAGGTTATGTCTCTGCTATTGCTTCATGCCCTACAAGAGTGGGTCAAAATTCCTTAGCTCATTTCTTATCATTTCTCTGATGCATAGTTGGCACACAAGTTTTTTAGAGTGCCATTCACATCAATACATGATCTATGTGAAGGTGGCGTAATAAATTTTTCCATATATACATATAGTTATAGTTATACTCTTCCCATTTGTAAATGATACTCTTTTATGTGAATGAAGTGGTAATGTATTATTTCATCTCACTGTGAGATTTGACATGGAGAATAAACCAAATATATTGATGCAAAGATATGAATTAGGAAGGTTGTTAGGCCAAGGTACCTTTGGAAAGGTATACTATGCCCGCAGTACAATAACTAACCAGAGCGTGGCTATTAAAATGATAAACAAGGACAAAGTTATGAAATCTGGACAAGCTGAACAGATCAAGCGGGAAATATCTGTAATGAGACGTGTGAAACATCCCAATGTTATACAGATTTATGAGGTTATGGCCACCAAAAGTAAGATTTACTTTGTTATTGAATATGCTAAAGGCGGTGAGCTCTTTGACAAGGTGGCCAAAGGAAAGCTCAAAGAAGATATTGCTCATAAATATTTTCAGCAGCTAGTGAATGCCATAGACTTTTGTCATAGTAGAGGCGTTTACCACCGTGACATAAAGCCAGAGAACCTTTTGTTGGATGAAAATGGGAACCTAAAGGTTTCTGATTTCGGATTGAGTGCTCTAGCTGAATCCAAGAGACAGGATGGCTTACTACATACACCTTGCGGCACGCCTGCCTATGTTGCTCCTGAACTCATCAAAAGGAAAGGTTATGATGGTGCTAAATCTGATACTTGGTCTTGTGGAGTTGTTTTGTTTGTCTTACTGGCAGGTTATCATCCTTTTCATGATTCAAATTTGATAATGATGTATAGGAAGATTTCCAAGGCGGACTTTAAATTCCCTACTTGGTTCTCCCCAGAAGTACGTAGACTGCTGATGAAGGTTTTGGATCCAAATCCTGATACTAGAATTCCCCTAGCTGAGATTAAGGAATCTTCTTGGTTTATTAAAGGGCCATGTCCTAGAGGTGGGAAATCTGAATTGGGGAACAAGAATGTCTCCACATCAGGTACAAAGCCCTGTGATCAAACCGACGAAAGTGATAGTATAGCAGCAGAAGCAACACAAGAGTCAGTTGTTCCCACAAGTATAAATGCTTTTGACATCATCTCCCGTTCTAAAGGTTTTGATCTATCTGGGTTCTTTGAAGATAGTTTCAAGAAGAGAGAAGCCAGATTTTCTTCAAGGCAACCAGCCTCAGTCATAATCTCCAAGCTGGAAGAAATCACCAAGCGTCTGAGGATGAAGATAAAGAAAAGAGCTGCAGGTTTGCTGAAATTAGAGGGCCTCAAGGAAGGTAGAAAAGGGACTCTAGGCATTGAGGTGGAGATCTTCGAGGCTGCTCCATTTTTCCATTTGGTTGAGATGAAAAAATCAAATGGAGACACTTTGGAATTTCAGAGCATATTGAAAGAGGGAATTAGGCCTGCTCTTAAGGATGTCGTTTGGGTTTGGCAAGGGGATCAGCAGCAACAATCACAGCCATCAGAGGACCAGATACAGATGCATGACCAGCCAGTAACACCATCCACATCTGTAACACATTCTTAATTTGAAGCCCAGTGTCTCTTCAAGTGTTTCACCTTTCACGGTATGCCCATTTTGCAGTCATGTTACTTTTGCACATCTGATGTAGCTATGATCTTATTGCGAAATAAATTTTAGTTGTCTCGTATTCATGATTCAATTTGTTTCCAATGACTTGAAGAAAATAATATCATCCTCCAAGCTTCGGATTTCCTATAGTAAAAAGCTTAGATCTAGTCCTTAGATATATGCTATCAGGTTTTTCTATAAAATAATGACATAATAACGAAATTTTTTATCAAGTAGGCAAGAATATGATATTCAGCCATTAGAATAAAGAAATGTCTATATTTTACATCTTATTGAAAAGTTTGATAGTAAACCATAACATTCTATACGCAAGCCCTGTGGGTGATTGTGAATAGTTTTTCAAGTAGTAATATGTGAATAGCCAGGTCGGAGGTTATCACGACATGTATAGGTGGCTAAATATTTTTTATTTTTGTGCCAAAGATAGGTGGCTAAATTTCTGCTAGTACTTTATGACAGAAGAAACTGTAATCGTCCGCAGCATTACGAACTGCACTATATCAAGTGTAGTTTGATGAAAAATTTTTTTCTCCCTTGACTTTCATTACGACAACAACAAGAAGTTTTATCCCACTAGATGGAGTCGGCTAGATGAATCGCACAACATCAAAATACTCTATCAACAATCAAGTTCTTAGGTATGTTGTGGATCAGGAGGTCCCGTTCATTTACTACCATACTACATAGCTGATCTTATAACATAGAATACAAGTTGGTTGGTTAAAGTGGAGGAAGGTTATCGCCTTATCAGTGTTATTTGCAATAAGAAGGTACCTGAGAAGTTTACAGGAAAATATTATCGGACTGCTATAAAACCAGTTATGTTGTGACTTTTCACAGCATTGACTCTTTTACTGATTTTTGTTGGAATTGACATTGAAATTGAAATTGAAGTTGTCGGGTATTTTATTTGATAATTTGTCATTAATATTTGGATCAAATGAAAATTCAGGTAATCGCATTAAAGGACATGCTAGTTAGAGTTGGATCATCTCTGAAGACAATGTTTAGTATGATGAATGATGCTGACACTTTCCAAATTTCAGATATAGAAGGGACTGCCAAAACATTAATTGAATTTGATTTTAAAAAGAAAAAGAAAAAGCAACGATTAGAAATTGCTCCAGCGTTGAGACTATTATTTGAGAAGATGGTTTGAGATTATATGCCTGCTTAACATGATCTAGAAGAACTGTAATGATGTGCTTCATCAAGGAAAACAAACAACCCCTTCTTCATTGATACATGAAATTTGTCAAGCGTGTTCAATCTCCAGGATAGCATACTTGGGTATGCTCAATGGCATGTTCTCTCATAACTCATAAGAAACTCCCTCAAGTTCCGGAACCACCTAAATTTCATCATCATGGCTGGGACATTATCATATTTAAATTTAAAAGGTGCAGACATCACTTCTGTCATGGTGGTTATCAGAGTAAATGCTTACGAGAATTTATTTAGAGAAACGCAAGGCTAGCAAGATTGGATTTCATTTCCAAATGTCTTAAGAGCCTCTCTTTTCTAGATTACTTCAACGGACTCTCTCGATAGATCATAAAAACCCCCCTTTATTCGCTGTGTGGGGAAGCAATTCATAAAAGTACCATAGCCTATTTCAAGATCTTCAACCATCACTTGACGAGAAATTCTATCTCTCGTATTTCAATTTTCATCCTTCAATGTTAATAGTATTTTTAAAGACTCTTTTCTTAGATTTAATTCTTGTAATGTAGGTTGTTTTACTTATTGTAAGTTGTCAGTTCGAATATATTTCACACAAATAAAAAAAATTTAAATTTTTTTAATTCTAATTTAAAATTCAACAACATTTTAATTTTAATTTTATTTAATTTACATTATATCTCATGTAAACAAAGTTAATACAATAATAAATAAAAAATAAAATTGTATATTTATATAAAAAATTTCTCTTACTGCCTTATCAATAAGACTAAAAAATATCTTTTCTCTCTCGTTGCTTTATAAATATTGCTCTGTAAATATAACCAAAGGAGCATATCATTTGCTCGTGTTTCAAAAAAAAAAAAATGGTTTGAGAGAGAATTTGATCCACAGCTTTGTTTCTTTATTACTATTAGCCTGGTTTTCAAATCACTCAATCTCATTTCCAGGCTTACATCCACAATCAGATAAAAGATCTGATCACACATCATGATTATTCTCGATCAACCATAACTTAATACTACTTCCGATCTTAATTATAAGAACCAGTTGACTAATTTGAGAATATTAAGAAAGTAAATTGAGTTAATTATTTATCCTAAATAGGTGTTATTTTTCTTAAAATATCCTTACTAATCAAGTGTATTGACTAGAATTATCATTGTTAAAAGGGCTACTTTGACAAAAATGTATAAATATGAGAGACAAAGTGGATTGGGGTCTTATATTTAGGATAAAATAAAAATCAAACAGAGTCTTATATTAAGGATCGGAGGTAGTAATTACTAAAACAAGGATATTACATAACACGGAGTATTCACTAATAACATTTTTTTTTTGTCACTAAAATCGGGATAGACATCTTCCTGCCGAATGCTTCTCAAAAGTAGTAGGACGTCAGAACCCATGAACATTGAGGAAATGTTCTTACCCACAACCTCCCTAAATACTACTTTTCACCTTTAATATAAAGTTCAGTTAATTAATTTGAAAAAGTTAAAAAAATTACTAGATTTATTAAAATATTTATATTTATTATTTTTTTCCCAAATAATTTCTCTTGGTTATAATTTGATATAGTCCCTCTAGTTTTTATTATAAGCTTCAAATAATTAATTCATAGATAATAACCAATTAGTTAAAAATAATAAATAGGTTAGAAATATTCTTTTATTTTCAAACATGCCATTATAATAAATGAGAAAACATGATAAGAGAGAAATAATTAAAGACAACATTAAAAAAATAAATTAAATGTTAAAACAAATCCAAATTGAAGTTTATAAAATGGACTACAATCCTTACTAAATTTGAAGTTTATAAATAGGACAAGAGGGAGTATAATCTAATAATACATAGAAACATTTTAAAGAAACCTTATAACATTTGTTCTATTTAAATAATTAGTAACTTTCTTAATCTCTCAAAATTAGTCAATTAGGTCTTACATTAAGTAGTAACTAATCTGCGAATATAAAAAAATTAATTAATTTAGTTATTTGTAATAAATATATATTATTTTCTCTAAAATACCCTTGTTTGTCATGTGTATTGAAATCACCCTCTTATGAAACTTTTAATATACATTTGCCAAAGGCTATTTGGAAAAAAAATAAACAAATATAAGAGACAAAATTGATTGGGATGTTATATTTAAAACCAAATTGAATTTCTAACTAGCTCTTATATTAAATACCAAAAATAGTGTTGAATTTCCCATAAATACAAACAATTATAGTCATCATTTATATTGACTCACCCTTGCTACAAACTAGAAAAAGCAGACAATTGTTCGATGGATAAAAGGAGGCAGGTAAAAATTATTAAACATTGAACACAAAGTATAATCAATTTGCTTGTAATGTCTTCTTTGCAATCTTAATCTTCCGTATAAGATGAATTAAGCTTTTGATTTTAAAAGAAAAATTATCTGGTAATAAATTGAAACATTTTAGTAAAAAATACCTGCTTGTCAATTTTATTGACTAAAATGATCTAAATTTGAGTAGATATAATTATCTTCAACAAGTGTAACATATCTTCAACTATATGCAAAAATAATCAAAATGAAAGATATATTACATACAGTTAAAGATATGTTGCACACAACAACAACAAAAATTACATGTTCTGATGATAGTTACAACCACCCAGATTCAAGTCTTTTTAACTAATAAAATTTTCAAATAGTTACTTTTTACCAATTTTCCCTGGTAAATGTGTCCATGACAGAAGCGACATCAGCACCGAAGAGTTTTTTTTTTTTTGGGGGGGGGGGGGAATCATTGCATAGCTCAATTCGATCATCTATAGACGACTAAACCCGACATAATCATGCTAAATCAATTTCCAATCAATAGAATGAGAGTTAAAATGTAAAATTACCATTTTGACACGAAGAAGCTAAAGTTGAATAGTTTGAAGTCTTTTGCTCTCAGTTTTTTTTTTTTTTTTTTTTATGTTGTTCCCATGTCGGTATATTAGTAGCTGGCAAAGAAAGTGAGATAGAATGGACCTAAAATGGCTGAAACCAAAAGGCTTTACTCAGTGAGTCATTTCACACTTGGTTTGCATCGCCCTCGGAAAAAAATTATTGGTTAGAAAGCTTAAATTGTGATACATGTAACAGAGGAATTGAAGTAGAACTCAGTAAACTTTCATTTCAATTTTTATTTCCAAGATCACGGTTTGGCATATATTCTTTACTTCATCTACAACCAAGCATAGTACGAAGGGGAACAACCTGAAATTAAAGACAGGTAAAATCATAAAAAAAAATTATTGAGCCTATTTCACCAGTTTTTAAAATTACATATTACTTGTTTTAAATCTGGCCTTGCAAAAGACGTGACCTGAATTAATTAAGATAAGCAAAAACACTTTAAGGGGCATCCCATTTCAAATCTCCTGCAAGTTTAGCACAATGTCATCAACAAGACACTCATAAAGTTGCGGCAAATAAAAAAAACCATATCCTGTGGCATCCTATACACAAAGATAATGATGAGAACAATGCTCCACTTACTGACACAATATTTGGCCCCAATATTGACACATACCAATATTTGAGAGCATATCCGTAGCTGACAACAATTTCCACTTGCCACTATCCCATTTAATAAGTTATCTTAGTCAAACGTTGCATGGTGGGTTTATTTTCGGTTTTATTTTCCTTTAAAAGGGATATTCTCATGGTCTGCAATTGGACAGGATAATACGATGCTTTAATGAGTCTCAAGATTTCATGAAGACAACCATAATCAATTCGTATCCTTTAGGTTTGTTTGGGTGCATCCTAATATACTGTCGGACTTCTGACAAACTCCTTCAGAAAAACTGGATATTGGAAAATGATGAGACATAGATTCTTTCTTTTCTTTTATTTTCTTTTGGTAGGAGAGGCATGGATAAAGTTATTTTCAGTTTGTAGTGGTAAATTCTCTTCAGCACAAAACTTCTGAAGGTGGAACATCAATTCAGTCATTCATCAAACACAGCTAACTTACCCCCAGCATCTTGAAAATTCCCTATTCGTATTTTGGCCTAAGCAGAATTTCCCCAGAGCAGTACCTAGATATATGATTCTCCAAATGGATTCTTCTAGAGTCAATTCTCAGCAAGGAAACTGATGCAGGTTTGTAATTCAGACAGGAGATAGGAAGAGACAAGAACATGGATTGAAAGAGGAAAACAGGAATTAGAGATTGAAGAGTGCAACTGTATTATTCACACATAATATGAAATACAAGTAGGTAGATACATCTAATTATTATAGGCAGCAATAATTCCAGCAGTTATTTTCTAACTAACTCTTATAACTCCTTATTCTGTCATTTATGATATTATTACACAACAGAATCTCTCCACCCCGGAATAAACGATATAGTAAAAAATTTTAGATTCTTACAAGGTTTATTCTTAAGGGGGGGAAAAATCTGTTCAGTCTAGTTTAATGAACTGTATAAAGAAGCTTTGCATGATTCTCCTACCGTGACAAGCAACTTGCATTCCTCCTAAGCATAATTTCAGGGTCATCTTTGGCTTCATTCTGGGTAATTCAATATCGTCAATATTTCTTTCTCTGATAGCTAACAAACCACACGAAACCAAAGGAACAAACCAAAAGCCAGACAAGTTTGATTGTCACTATACAAAAGCCATCTGCTCACAACAAACTGATAACTTGTGCTTGTTACACAATAACGCCTTCAACTTATTGAACTTTAATTGAAAGTATCATATCTCCAGCGACAGAGCAAATGAAGGAGGTTAAATTATTTGAAACTGAAAGTTTTAGTACCAATCAAGTTCCTCTGCGTCACCTCATTTCTCCAGCAGATCGTGTGCGTCATGAATTTAAAAGAAACAAATTTCTCACGGCAAAATGGTACTGACATTGACATTTATTTGACAATGGCCGACCACAAGCTACTCAATATGGTTATTTCTAAAAGCACGATAACTGTTTCGGTAATGATTTTTACCATTCAATCCAGCAACAACAATAATACTACCTCCAGCAATTTGCACGGATGTTATATTTAGAACTGGAGTAGTAACAATTAACGAGCATGACACACAGATTTTCCAATTAACCTATGAGTTTTACAATCATAAGCAATCTTCGGGGAAAATTAAAACGACGAAGCGAAACCGAAACCAAACCCAAACCCAAACCTGAAATTTCAGTATTGCGACGAAATTAATGAAAACAGACGAACAAGGTAATCATGTGGACCGCTTTGACTTAGAGGAGGAGGTGAGATGGTTCCAGAGATATCGACCGGAAGCCATGTCGACGAAGGTCCAGAACCCAGATTCGATTGCTACCCGAACCTGCATTACCAAATTGAGAAATTTGGGGAAAAGAACACAGAACAATCTAAGGAATGTTGCAAAAGTAGAAAGTGAGAAAGAGGGGAAATGAAGGAACCTTGGAAAATGCAGGAATGGAAGAATCGGAAGATTGGGCGGAGGAAGAAGCTTCGCCAGCATCATCATGATGAACAAGGTGAGGTTGAGATCTGAGGTTTCTGAAGACGAAAAAACCGGCGAGAGAGGCGGAGAGGAAGATGAGAAGAAGGCGGAGAGGACACATCTGCTGAAAATGATGCGATTCAGAAGCGCGTGGGAGGGAGGGAATGTCAGAGTCAGAGCCTGAAATTAAGGTCTTTGCATTTGGATTTGGATTTGGATTTGGGAAGTACTGACTAAAAATACCTGCTCTCATGCAATGGCCCAGGCGGGTGGGCAGTTGCATCATGTTTTGTCAAATTCTTCTTCTTCTTTTTTCGGCCAACATTGTCAAATTCTCTTTTTACTTGGCAATTGGGTTTTTGTTTTTGACCAGCACTTAGCAATTGGGTTTGAGTCTTGTAGTAAAAGGAGTTTTAATCCTCGCAATATAGCATAGTTAGTTTGGAATTCGGATTGAGAAATGTGCCTTTATTTAATCTTTGCATTCAACAAGATTGGCTCCTATTAGAGCATAAAAAAATTTGGAAAAATTGGTTAAAAATGCCACTTTGGCAAATTAATTAGGGAATGAAACCTACAATAAAAGTAAATGTATGGTTTTTCTCAAATGTCAGTGAATGTATGAAAAAGATCATATTATTGTAATAGAGGCTAATTGTATATGAGGATCCTTTCTTACATATGACTAATTACATATGATAGATGTTTATTTGCATATGAATCATTACATATGATGGATACTTATTTGTATATGACTAATGCCTACTTACATATAAGTTTATTGTGTAATATGAATACCAATTGTGTATAATAAATGCTCACTTGTATATGTTGGATTCCTACTTGGTTGTGGGTCCTTTTTATATGTTAATGCTTAATACAAATGTTAATTGTATATAATAGATTCTCACTCACATATATCGAATGCTTACTTGCACATGGGTTCTTATATTATTGCATGTGGTCTATAATATGCAAATATATTTCAAAATGTGCAAATAACTTTGGATTAAAAGCATCAATCCATGAACATTGCCCAGCAAGAATGATGGCATTGTACTCTCATGTTGTCTCATTCTTGTTTATTTTATTAAACTCTATTTACTTTGTTTTTTAGGTATTAAACAAAGCATATATAATTTAAAGAAACATCCTTCCCCTATATATATACTTAGGCTGGAACTAAGGTGGCCACTGTTACTTTTATTTCTTTGCTTTCTTTTTTCTTTTTCAGGCTAGTTTCATTGGGTTTTTTTTTTTTTTTTTTTTTTGCTTTAAGGTCACACCTTAAATAGAAACATTCATGTTCATTTTTTAGTATATCGATGGGTCTTCCACATTCAAATTATCTCATAAAAAAAACTGATGATATTATTTTGAAAAAAAAAAAAAAAAACTTGTCATTCTAACTTTCTTACAGTGTCGGCCACCAAAATGAGTGGGAAGCACGCCTTCCTTGTACCCACTTCATCATCTCAACTATATTGCCCCTCTTCACTCCTTTAACCATCTTCTTAAACAAGAAGAACCAGAGCCTGAGACAAAAGGGCAAACTTGTCTTTAAAATTTTCCCACCAAGTCGGAAAATCAATTCCCACCAACTGGGCAATCCTAATACGCAATAAGAATAATCAACATATAAGTTTGGACTAACGATATACAATTAAAATCCATAGTATGCATGGAAGATGGCTTCCCACCCATTTTGCGGGGAATTGATTATCTGACATGGTGGGAAAATTTCAAAGACAAGTTTGCCCTTTTGTCTTAGGCTCTGGTTCTTCTTCTCAATCAGGTGTCTGGTTTTTCTCTTGTTTAAAAAGATCTTGAGGAGTAAAGAGGGGCACTCTAGTTGAGATGAAAGTTGGTACGAGGAAGGCATGCTTCCCACTCATT